GACCGTTGATAATCCAATATAATCCGTGATTAAATTTATAAAGACGATTATTGTTAAACACACAAACTAATGTATTTAGTTATTAATGAAGTGTTGGCATAATTTTGAATATTTTACGATTTCTAATACTGATAATATTAATGTATAACGTAAATTTTACATCAATAGTTATTGGTAAAATTTTTATTATTTTTGCTGTCCTATACAAAAATCGATACTTAAATTCAATCGGATTGAATTAATTTTTTTCTGAAAATCTGCCGTTTTCCAAATCACCGACCTAGAGCTATTACTCCTCTTTGCGCCGGGACGGGGCGCTATTAAACGTCGCGACGGTGTCGGACACCTGTTCGTATACCATCGTAATTGTACGTGAGTGTACCTGCTGCATTGGTATAGAAATCGTGGTCGGTGTGTAACTAACGGCATCGTGTTGCGGCTTGCTGTTCGGACACGGCCGTCGTGGCGTAAATATGCAAAGTGTACGAGAGAAGAAATGCCACACGCGAAGAGAGCGCGTAGTCGCGCGTGCACTGCGCAAGAAAGGGAAAAACAGCGCTCGAGGAAACTGTGTTTTCCATTAGCGCGAAATCAAAGGTTTCAAAAGGGCACTTAAAAACAATACTCAGGCATCGCGTACTGCCACCAGTCTGTGGCAGTTCCATTTTACGTGTTCATAATAAATCTCGAGTTTAAAAACTCTTTTGTGTTCGGTATTCGTAATTACTCGGAAAATTGGGTTTGATACAAATGGAATGTAATTCGACGTAATAGTAAATTGACGAATGACCTATTGATTTTCTTGCAGGTCCGTTGCCTGTACACCACAGTCGCCGCCGCCGTGAATACCGTTACTTACAATAAAAAAAAAAAGAAAGGAAATAAAAAAAAGACACTTTTAAATACTAACACGATTCGCGTTTGTAAGCCGTAGTGCGTACAACTACCTAGTTGTTCTAATCCAACTACCTATACTGCGATATAATAATTTTTGTAAAATGTAAGACTATATTTTATCGCTTATATCACATTTTAATAACTATAACGTACTTTATTCTGCCGTCTAACCTAATCAAAATATGTTTTATGATTATACTAGCTCACCACCTAAATTCGTGTCTCATGTTATATTATTTATATTTATAGTCGATCGATGCAATCTCGTTTTTGCAAGGCCCGACCGTATAATTGTTGGCCTCTCATGGTGTTTACACGGTAAAATAACCTGGCACCATTATTACTGCATTACTAAACGATTACTTGAAATCCACGTGCATCGTCATTAATTTCATCGTACGTCACTGTCAAGAACAATGAAAAACGAATTGAACTCGTAAGAAGTCGTACTGAACTCAAAGTGTATGGACAGTACTCGGGAACGAAAAAATACGGAAAGGAATCGCAGAACAATTACACGGAACACTGTGTAATAAAACACAGTGAAAAACGGAGAAAGCGATGGACTCGGCATGGACACGCGTGATATGCAAGGCCATCCCGAAAGGGGAGTCTTGGGGGGGTGTTTCACCGACCCAACGAAAACACTAGTCGGCAGTCGGACTTGTTTCATTATAGCTTGGAAGGACGTAATTTTACTTACGGAAAATAATTATTAAATATTTCGTAATACAGTGTATACACAAATAAAATTTATATAGCTACTTATTTTTTTTTTTTTTTTGCTTAATGGGCCCTTAAGGCCTTTCGCAGCTTCTACTAAACCTCTCCACTTGTCACGATCAATGGCAGTCTCGAAACTTGCTGCTTCGTCCACCATTCTTATATCTGCATTTAATCTATCCCGCCAACGTTGGCGAGGTCTTCCCCTGGGACGCTTGCCAGTTATTATTATTCAGTACTTTTTGAATTATGCTTCCCTCAACTCGCCATACATGATCTACTAATAGCTACTTATTATACAATATAAAATATTATTATATATATATAATTAAATTGTCAATTTTAAGAACGTGCAACACTAACACATATATACATGTTAAAAAGTAAGAAATACGACTAAATATAGCTAATTATACTACATACATCGAGTAAAACAATTGTAGTCGGGATTTTTCATATTATTCACCCTTCCTTGATTTTCATCTTCGGGACGGCCCTGGTGATATGTCCGTAAACGGACGCGCGTTCTTCAAATGCCTAGCACAAAACCAGTGCACGCACGCGCGAGTGTGTTGGCTCGCGTAACCGGGGACCGGGAGCTAATAAAGTAATAATAATAATAATATGATTTATGAAACGAACGGCCGGGGTCTGGCGGTCGCACAATAGCCGAACGAACGTGTCGCTGACCCGTCGCGTCGCGGTCGTCATTATTGTTGTTAATCAGCTATGCATAATACAATATGGTAAAACATCCATATGTACGAGTATTTTCATATTCATTTTATTTTTTTTCCACCCCGTCCTAATTGGCCGAACATTGTATTTAGATATATAATGCAAACCTAATACAATCGAAGCCGCGGGGCGCGACGGCGGTCTTCCGACGCGAATCCCACGCTGTTCACGGGGTCGCGCCGCTCTGCATAATTATATACGCGTTTGTGCGTGTAAGTGCACAGTACACGCGTTTATCGGTGCGCCGCGTTATAATACCCGTGAAAAAGGTTACGGGATTATTATCGCGGTACACCGCGATCCGGGTCGAAAGAACGCGACCGTTGGTCCGGAAAATACCTACGAGCCTGTGGTTGGGTACACCGCAAAGCACCCGGTACCTTAAAGGTGCGCGTCCTCACTATACCGATCGGCAGTACCGAGTGAAAAAATCGATCGGCCACTTCGAAATCGGCATGCGTCCACGTACATTTTTTTTTTTCAGTCACGTTCGGTATTCGGTTTCGTCAAGATGAGGAACAAGTTATTTTGGTAGCTGCAGCTGCTTCAATTATTGATTGTTGTATACGTGTACACAAAAAAAAAAAAAATGACTGATTTTGGGTACGACCAAACTTAAAAAAAAAATCGAAAAATTCATAGCGATTTGATGAAAGATTTAATTTTGGAAGATGTGGACGATTTAAATTTAGAATATCGATGCGATGCGGGTTTTAAACATTTTTTTGCATTTAAAATTTCATCTTCACTCTGCTCCATTTTTAAAAAGAATGTTTTAAATAGCAATTCAAAAAAAAAAAAAAAAACAACCAATAACACCAAGTTCCGACTGAGATTGAGTCGAAAAGCGTCTTCACTAGGCATGTCTTGTTCGGCTTCTCTTGATGTAGACCGCCAGCGTGCGGGCTTCGATCGGCAACGCGTTTGGTCTGATAACGAAGCTGACAGTCACGTCCACACTAGTGCAGTTTTGCCGATCGGTATGGTGAGGACGTACCGTTATACGCGACGCGTGTACGTGCACGACTATGCTGTACGTTCAGACCCGGCTCAATCGTTTACTTACACCTAGGTAAACTTAAGTTTTTGCCGAACCTCACTTAAGATATTCTATAGAAAGTGTATAGAATATCTTTGATTAATAATATTATATGATTATTATATATATCAGTGGCGTAGCCAGGAATTTTTTCGGGGGGGGGGGCTGATCAATTTTTTACACAGCGGTGGTTTAGTAATATACAATAAATTATTTTACCTGTATTATTTATTAAAAAAAAAAAAAACAATAAAAATAGTAATCAATTTTCTTTTCAATTTTACATTTTTTTTTACAATTTAGTATACTAACATTTTATATAATAAAACAAACTCGAATTTAATAAACATGAATATAATGTGATGAATAAAAATAAATTAACAATATTTATTTACAAACAGTTAAAGTGACAATTTTAACCTTCGAGCCTTTCCACTGTTAGCAAATTTGTCCAATATTTGATCATCTGAAATGTCAATATCTCTATGAATGGATAGTAGTGCGAGTTCGACAAGTCTTGACTCTGTAGTTGAATTTCTAAGGTAAGTTTTTAATCTTCTCAAAAAAGAAAAACTCCTTTCTGCAGTAGCAGTCGATACAGGTAGTACTGATATTAACTTTAGGAGTTGATACATGTTTGGAAACATATTGCTGTCACAGTTGGTTAAGGTTTCAATTGCATTTAATGGTCTGAACTTTGGTCCAACTGTTTTCCACTTAGACTGCCATAATTTAAATTCAGCTTCAATAATATATTGATAACCTGGTAAATCGTCTTCATAAAATTTAACAGCGGGTTTTAAACACGAAAATGGCTTATCAACAGTCAAAGACGGCAATACATACTGTAATGACTATATAGTATCTTTATGTGAAAGAAAACGATGTTTTAGTGAGCAAAGTAAATCGTCTAAGTATGGAATAAATACTGTACGTCTGTAAAATTCTTCAATATCTTTAAAAGGCACATTATTTCGATTTTTTTGTCTACCACTAATACGTGGCATAGTTTCATTAACATTTAACGAAACTGAAATACTTTTTACTCCCTCATAAATTTCATGAAACTCGACATTTGAATTTTCTCTAATATCTTGAAGTTTCTTGGAGATTTTGGATACACTTTCAAATGCGTTTACTAAATCTATATTCTTAGTTTGTAAATACTCAGATAAATTGTAAGTATAACTCAATAATTTATTTGAAACATAGATAGCTACTAATAAATTAAAATTGCAGATATTATTCAAAAGACTATGTGCTCGTTTTATTGATTCCTTATTTTTTGAATCATTTTCAATTTGCTCTAAAGCAGAAACTATTGGCTGCAAAAATTCTTTAAAAATCATTATAGCCTCGTGACGCAAAACCCATCTAGTTTCGCACAGTGATTTAAGTTTATGTGCCTGAGTTTTTGGATTAATTTCTAAAACTTTTTCTTTTAAAATTTGGGTTCTTTTTGCGGAGTAGTGAAAAAATGAACAACATTCTGATACAATTCCAAAAGCATTTCGAATATCTTGAGCTTTAGAAGCTTCAGACAAACAAAGATTCAAAGAATGCGATATGCAATGAGTGTATAACGCTTTAGGATTTTTTTTTCTCACAATTGCCTGTACACCATTAAAAGCACCCGCATGGTTGCCGCCCCATCATAGCCTTGACCACACATTTTTTCTAAATTTAAACCAAGGTTTTTTAATGTTTCTAGTAAAGTATTAGCTAAACCTTCTCCTGTTACATCCTGAACAGGAATAAATGCTAAAAAGTTTTCCCGAACTATCATTGATTCTTCATCTAGGTATCTTATGCATACTGAAAATTGTTCGATTTGACTAATATCAGTTGTCTCGTCGGCGAGAACAGAAAAAAAACTGGATTTTGATATTTGTTTAACTATTTCAGATTGAATTATTTCTCCAAAAATAGTAATTAATTCATTTTGGATTTGAGGACTTGTATACATAGCATTCAAATCACTTATTTCTAGATGCTCTTTTAAAACTATATCACCATTATTGGCTCTAAATCGTAGGAGACAACGAAAATTTCCATCATTTTCAGTAGGTTCATTCATTTCAATTCGTCCAGTCTGTATGCCCTCTTAATGCAATCTGTTGCCTTCCGCACAATCGAATAGTCTGAATAATAGGTTTCAAAGATGAACGATTTTTTAAAATATCTTGCTTTTTCTTAGTATTTAATTGCATATATACATTATCCTGTTCCTTGTTATGAATTTTAATTACATTATCGGCATTTAACATTGCAGTTTTATGGAAATTTAAGTTGGCATGATTTTTTAATGATTCTAATGCATCTTTTAATTTAATAAGAGGTTTGGTTACAAGTTTGCCCAGTTTTACGTGAGAACCTTTACCAACATTTGTTTGATACAAGAAAAGTACACAATACATACAAAAAGCCCCTTCTTTCAGTTTTGAATAAGCTAACCAATTAAATGTGTTAAGCCATTTCAACTGAAAAGTACGTTTAAACTTGCCATTATCTTGAGCTGGAAATTTATAATTTACATCAGGCACCCATAAATTATGTAAAATTAAAATTTTTTCTGTATTGGTTAGAGGTTTTGAACAATTTATATAAAGACCAATATCATATTTAGAATCAGATTCTGTCTGTAACTCTGATTTATCAATTTGTTTTTTTTCTTCAAAAACTACAATATTCTGTGTTTTCTCATTTTCTTCAATGATAGGGTCACTGCAGTTTGACTAATATAAAAAAATATTTATTTATTTTCATAATTGGATTAAGTGGTTTAATATTTATAGGTAAGCATTTATTTTGGAAAATATTATAAAGTCAAAACAATAAAATAAAAAAGTCATGAACAATATTATAAATATTATGTTATAAAGTCGACGCGACGCGACGGCGAAGTATGAAGTCTTAAAAATGTATTAAAATTAATTTTAAAACCATATATACAGTTCAGTAATTTGTTTTTTTTCATAATATTTATATGAACCTACAACGTATCTTCTAATACAAATTAAACATTTTACTTACATTTTTTGTTTTTTTTGTGAAAAAAAGTTTGATTTTTTCTTTTCTCTGCCATTTTTTGTGAGTTAGATTGAAAAATTTAAATCCTGTACAGTAACCACGTTGCACAACTAAAATATCAAAATGGCAAAATAATACGTTCTGCATTCTCTGCGATACTGCCCGACTGCCGGTTTATAATATTTTCCGACGCCCGTTTGTGTATATTTATTATTTATACCCCTATTACATTATACGATTAGTGTAAAGTTGTAAAGATAAGAACAGTCGTCGCCCGTCGGGTGTCTTGTCACTAATCGCTTACAAATAATTATTTATAGATTTTATCATGAAACCGACCTATGTATAATGTTATATAAGTAATAATATATGCATTAAATACCTACTAGCACGGCCGAAGCTGTAGAAAACTAACAAAATAAAGATGACAATTTAAAATTAGTAAAATACAATTTAAAACTTTTTGAGCGAATATTATAGACCATTAAAATAATTTTTAAATTTTGGGGGGGGGGGCTGCAGCCCCCTCAGCCCCCCCCTGGCTACGCCACTGACATATATATATATATATATATAATTATATAAAATAATTATTATAATAATATAGTATTATATATAGTTATAATAACTATATAATAGTTTAACAGAAAATAATGTGAATAATATTTTAAATTTGTTACCAAATTAGTGTAATAGCTGAAAACGGACATTCCAATATGGCCGGAAAGTGAACTGGCCGAAAAAGGAAAGGTCAATTTTGGCCGAAAACGATGCCGTCCGGAATGGTTCCATCCATTTCACTTACGATTTGATAAAATATAATAACGATAAAAAAGTTTGACTTCAGCCCATCACGTAATTGCGTCTATAATTATTATTTTAATACCGACTCCATAAAATACCTAACTGAATTCCTAATAATGATTACATTTCGTTTTCTTTTCACACCTTTGAATAATGTGAAATAACGGAATAGCTTAATTTTTTGTATTTATTGTTTACTTCATTTATATTGCTGTCAAATAAAATCCAGAAAATTAATTTTCATTTGGTGTAGACTTGGGAAATAGAACACAATAATGTCAACAGAATGTAGTCGAACAATACGTATAACTAATAAAATGGAAATATAAGTATCTGTATATGCATGTTTGTTTTTCGAAGCCCAGTTCATCAGTGTTTTGAATGATACATTTATATTTTATACTTTTATAAGTGTTCTTTTATCAAATAAAATTTGTATATTCAATTTTAAATGTTATTCTAAAAATAAGTCTAGTGATTTATTCTCAATAAAAATGTGAACACTAGGGTTTTTTTTTAATTTTTTTTTGCTTTGTCGAGAGCATTACAACAATGCATCTACATTCCACGTATCATATTAAGAATATAATTTTAGTTTAAACATTGATTTCGTTTATCTCCAGTTTTCTCTCGCTGTATTTGGTGGTGCTTGTAAATTGTTTGCGAATATTTACGAAATCGCGGCGAAGGGAAAATAAGATTCACGGAGAAAGCGAAAAACTCCGCTTACCGTATATGATAATTAATTACGGAATAAAATATAAAGTCGATGTAACAATGTAGGCGGGCGAGAGAGGATGGCTTTGATGCAGTTCTCCTACCTACTACCCCGCACGCGTGTAATGCATATCGACAATAATAATACATTATACGTTGCCGATCGGTACAGGGTGGTCTTGGATTTTATTGAGACACGTCGAACACATAATAATAACACGTGTTTTCGCACGCCGCGAATTCGATGGGTCGGGTGAACGCGTTGTTGCCCGACAAGCACAAAAACCAAAAAAAAAAAAAAAAATATATATACAAAAATACTCGAAACTGTGTACATATAAATATATTTTATATGTCGACGCGGTTAGGGGGCGTACTGCAATGTGCGCGTTACCGCGGTATAATATAATGGATTGTGTTGTCCGCGCGTACGTTCATATTTTAATAAACGCGGTGGAAAATATTGTATTTTGAATGCGTCGTATTATTGTCGCGGGCGTCGTCACTATTATTACCATATCGTGCATGTTGTTATTACCATCGACCAGGTGTTTTTGGGAGCCGACGAGCAAAACGCGCACCTACGGACAATGGACGCGGAACCGTCCGAGCTTATGTGTCGCCATGTGTGAACGCCGCCGCGAAATAAAGTACACAACAATATTTGTAAGTATCATACGTATTATCATTTACAACATTATGTGCTATTATTATTCGTGTAAATAACGTTATTACAATAACAATGCATGCGGTCGACCCGACGTCGTAGGTCCATTACACGTACGTCTTGTGCATTTTTTTCGCGGTCCCTTTTTCTGCAATTTTATTATTATTGTCACTTGTCAGTATCGATAACGGCTCCGTTTCGTTGTACAAATTACTAATCCCATTCCGCCGCTCATTCTCCGGGCGCGGCGTGTACGGCCGACCGATCGTTTTCGCGATCCGTCCAAAGCGTCGGCCGATAAACCTGCCACCCTCCCTCCCTCCCCGATTGTCGTATTATTATACGACGGTGCGAAATTTTTGGGTAAATCGAGTACGATTCCGACTGCAGACAGTGTCGACCACTTGTTGCCCGTCGACAAAATATAACAATAGTGGCGGTTGGTTTGAATCTGTAACGATGTGCAGTATTAAACAATATCGATAATGCAGAATTCAAGTCATGAAATGTGTAAGACACCTAGAAATATTTCTATAAATTAATTTCGCAACTGGAAACAGCTTGTATAAACATTTTAGAACATAAAAAATATAAGAAAACTGGTGTGTAAGCGATAATCATGTTTAATTAGGTCCAGCAAATTTATGAAAATAAAGAGGATCGAAAAATAAACGGTCTTCCGTGGTAGTCGAGTGCTTCTACCGCCATGGAAACACATGCGTAATTTTAATTGTTATTTTTATAAAAATTATATTTTTGTGTCTTTACGTACGATTTTATCGACAGATGCACGATGAGCGTAATGTTTAACACTTTTAAAAGTGTTGCAGTTACAATATTCTACACTGGCGCTTAAACCGCAACCACATTAAATAAATAATAATTATTTTGCTATCGAATTAATAATGACTGTATTGTTGATCGCATTCGAGTATCGAATCTATTTGGTCCACCGAAAGAAAAATGTTGACCACTTCAACTCGACTTTTGTTTACTTGATGATAACAACGATGATGTACTAAATTCTAAAAGTCAACGAATATAGACAGACCAATGTTTAATACAAATAATGAAATTTATAAAAAATGCTTTTAATATTTCCGATAGACTTATTAAGAACAATTTTTTTCATTCCATTGCTTTAAAAGGTTCGTATTGATCTACGTCAATAGAAAAGTTATCCACCGACCTAAACACGTAGACGTACGTTTTCCGTACTGAATGTCGATAACCTATTGGGATTTACAATACGGGTGTATCCTTACAGCTTACTTCTTACGGCTAATTCATAATGTATTATGATGTAACGCTTTTATTGTTTCGACAAATTATTTCGTTTAAAACTGAGCCAAAAAAAAAAGACACTTAACATGTAGTGATAAGTTTGAATTAATTTTCGTTGGTAGCAAAAATATAATAATTCTACATCACAGATAACGTTCTTTAACAAAACCAAATCGGACCCTCCGTTACGAGTATACACTAAATGGGATTGTGCGTCTCACGTAAAAATAAATTATTGCGCAAAAATCGTATCACGCTTTCTTAACAAAAATGAAAATTATAGCGGTACGTGAGTGATAATATTATGTATTGCGATTAGGGACGAATTGGTTGCATCGTATATAATTATTGTAATCATACCTAGGACTAATATATATATATATTCACTCTATTGTTCCGAGTTCCCGAGTTGGTTTACGGTACGTTATTATCTCGCACAAATCAAGAAACTTCATACAGTGTTACGTGTGTCATAGTCGTATTGTAAATGTTTTATGATCGTTATGATCGTTGAAAACTTATAATAGATCATGACCGTAATATTATTCCTGTGCGAGTGTAAATTAATATATAAATATATTATCTACGGGCAACATCGCGTCATTCGTTTACACAATTCGACTATAATACAATTCGTTCGATAAGGTGTAATAAAATAAATCTTTTCATACAGTCTTCAGTTTTCAATATTTTGTGTGAAGTTTTCGTAATCATTTTTATTAATAATTTTTGTTATTACTTATCCGTTAAACAATGTTTTTTACTAGACTTCACAATTTATGTAGTACCTATACTAAAAAATCCTTTGCTTGGAGAAAAAACTAGGTGTTGAATCATATGAATATAATGCACTTAAAGGGATGTATGCTTTAAAAAAAATATGTATATTGGTTATATAATTTTAAAGCATTTTGGCGTAGAAAAGTAAAGTGCTATGAGTCATGCGACAACGCAGACTGCGATTTTTACAACTATGGTGGTTAGGTATTTTAATTAATTTTCGTACACGAAGTGTCGTGCCGGTCATTTTGAAGATTTTAACATGCCAAGTTGTCTTTTGGTAACTTTTAAAAGAAATTAATAAGTTTACAAAAAGTAATTAAATTTCAATTATTAATATTTTAATGGTGTAGTATTGAAACTATTCAATAAAACTGTACACTATGTATATGTATATATTAATTAGTTGGCTGTTGTAATTGAACAAATCATAAAATTATTTTAGTTAACGAATAGTTAATATTGGAAATGGTCGATTTTATCGATCGCTGTGATGTTATTCATACGAATTTGAAACGCTGAGTTGATTATTTATTTTTATCAATTTTATTAGAATAATTTGTAATTTTAAAGTTAATTTATTTTTAGAAATTCATTGTGGATTATTCTTCAAAAGTAAACTGATATTATTGTAATTACTTATCATTTATCCAAAATAATTGTAGAAGCTTGGAAAAATAATCAATAAATTTTTTCGTACAAAGAAAATATTTTGCAATCACAGATTGGTTTTACCTCGTTGTTTTACCGTACAAAATGTATTCATACGTTATATATTGTAATATTAGTGTACCGTTTTGAACATTTTAACATCCGTACATAGCAGTAGTACTACGACGTGTTAATATTAAAACGAAACAATGAAATCAACTTCAAATCTCTGTATACTGCATTCCTTAGTGCCCTTATATCATATAAGAATAAAAGTTATACACATTGTCTGGATAATCTATTTTTAACTTAACATAGATGTAGTTTGAGCGTGAATTCTCTGATTTCGTGCAGCGATTTAATGAAACAATTTAAAATACATTTCACTCTAAATGTACTATATGCGTACACTAATTAATACTGTAATTATCACTTCTAAATTATTATGGTTGATTTAAGGACTAAACTGTTGAACGAACAAAACTAACCGTACGGATTTTATATTCTTTGTTCTTTCATTTTCACCAGTAACTCGCTGATTGGCCATTACTTCCGTGTGTTTACTTTATTAAAACCCAATGAACCATCGCATGCGACCCTAACGACAATTAAACATCGAAGTAATTTGCTGTCCTATAAATCAATTAAAGTTTACGAACGAATTATTACTATTAAATCTATATAACGGAACCGTTTTAGCGACCAGACGACTAAATTATAATATATCGACATTATTAACGAACACTTTTCGCATCGTGAACCGTTTCCTGATGTACACGAGCATTGAAATTAGAAAAATAAAAATGATATCCTTTATTCGTTTCACACAACTTGGACGATAAAACATAATTCGTTTACGATCCTAAATGTGGAACTCGTGTACAGCGGTGTTGTATTTACTGTCGTCACTGAACTACTCGAGGCCCGTGTGTAAATCGAAATCTTGAGACCCATTTTTGAGAAAACATTTTTGAGCATTTGACCTTTTAAGGCCCCATAATATGGTGCACACCCGGTTTTTACGGCACTGGTTGTATTATAACTTGTTGGTAAAACATATTTTTGATCGTTAACGGATACATTTCCAAGTATTGATATTGTACGGGCTATTAAAACGTGTTGTACTATTGTACAATAAATATTGAATTAATATTGCCGTGTTGCATATCATACACGTACAATGACATTACCAAAAGTCCATTCATGCGTATAACATGACGCAAAGATATATTTTCAATATACAACTTGAAATAATTTGTTCCAAGAAAGTACGTGTTCATAATTTATTTAGAACAAAAATTAATAATAGTGACCTATTTTTTTTCTTGTTGGACGAAAAACATTATCACACGTTTTCCGAATAAATAATCAATTATTTCGTTTTAAGACTGAAAAAAAAATCGTTAAATTGTGTTGGAACGGTTAATAAAGTGAAAACTTCTACTATAATAACTTAGTGTTTACTGTTGATATGAATACCTGAAATTAAAATAAATATATACATGTGTATACATGAATTCCGATTTTTAAAAAAAAAAAAATAGTTATGAAACAGCATTTACTGTCATATAAGTACCTAATAACGTTTATGAGTGTGCACGAGGGCCTTGTGCATTTATACAGTGAAAGATTATTGTGTTTAGTCGTGGAAGTGTAACATGAAGAAGAATTATTCGAGTTTTCCCCCCATGCGCTGAAGCTGTAAAGATCATTAGAATGTTTAACATATCACGCATTGAGCATACATTTTCTATTAAATAACTTCTGTCGGAAATAGACGGTGTGTGGATTGCTTTAAACTCAAAATACTTTCATATTTATCAACGCAATAAGTTTAAACTCACCTCAGTGTTCAATAACTGTGTAATATTGTAGTAAAATTTAATTAATTTTAGTCGTCGCACACCAAAAATAAAATAAAAAATAAATTTAAATTATTTTGAGAGTTATAAAAATTAATATTGTGGTGTAAATCGTTATTGTTATAGTAATTAATCGTTTATTTTTATCTATTTTTATTAGGTTTTAGTCTGTGACTATAACAGCTCAACAATTAATATAATTAAACATTTTATTATAATTGTTTTACATCATTTAATTTACCGTAAGAATTATGAAATACGGAACGGTATTTTTAGAGTAGTTTATTACTGAATCCCAGATGTACCTATATAAAATATAATTTGAACATTTTTCTAATTAACATTAAATTAATATTATTCGTTTTACATGTATTAATATATATATTTAACATAAATCAAATGTATTCAATATTAATTTGATCATTTATGTGAAACCAATTTTGAATTAAGTCGTATATTTTATGCAGTTAACGAACGATCTAAAGTAGTCATTACATTTTGTATATATGATAATATGAATTAAATCTGTGTTAATAGATTATCACAGTGTTTCTAGAAGTAGTCTACTGTAACTCCAATGTAACTATTATCAGTCTCACCCTATAGATGCTCTGATTGAAAAATAATTCAAATTAATTATTTGTTGTTGGAAAAGTATCTTCTATTTCTAATAAAAAAAAAAAAAAATAAATATATTCCACTTGTGGAACTATTAATTTTTCGTTTTTTTTTTTTTTTGTTTGTTTTTCATTATAACTGTCTTAAGCAATATAATGAAATTTATATAAAGTAGTAAACTATTAGTATTAGTAGTAAAGTATTCTTAATACGCGAGCAATAAATACAATATACAATATATACCTGACCCTGTTTACGTTTGTTTCTTCAATGATATTGCATCATTCCTTAGTTTAAATCGACTTTTAAATGTTTAAGTATTTTTATAACCAATGATGGAAGACGGGAAATATTTCTTTACTGGACTTTTGTATCAATAATTAATGGTGGCCAAACAATTTTTTTTGTTTTTCATTATTTATAATCTGTATTTTTTGTCCCTAGAAATGAGAAAATATACATAATTTTTATGACGTTAAATGATTAAGAATTAAGGTTTTCTTTGTCAATTGATTCGACATGATAATACCAAAATAACTAACGATAGTATCGGAATACGTTTTTTTATTTGGTTTACTGCTGATTCAAAAAAAAAAAAAATAAATAAATAAATAAATAATAATACTTAAGAAAAGTGTAGCCCACAATTCATACATTAAAAATTTAGTCATTTTAAAAAAAAAAAAAAATGTTAATATTCAATTAAATTCAAACTATTATTTTTAAAAGTTAACTCGTATATAATATTATGAAGTAAATGTAATGTAATATTGATAAAGTAGGGTTGAAGAGTAATTGTATTTTTAATTATTTACAATTTTTAATTGGTACTTATTACGAACGATTTGTTTGAAGTAACTTAATTGTTTTATTTTATTTTTAATTTAATTTTAATTGAGAATTGGAATCAGACATCGTACTGTGTAGTTTCAATGAGTAAATAAAAAACAACAATAACGACAGTAATCGATAAACGTTTGCGATCACTATAATTGTATTATAAATATTACGACGTGAGTATTTAATATTAGGGATCTGTGGAATATCCACATAGAGGGCTAGACTTACGAAAGGGTCGAGTGTGCTGTTGTTCATAATATTATTATTACGGTAGCTATGTTCTAATTCTTAGGGTAACAAAGTACGTAGCCAGGGAGATATTTTACGCGTTTACATCTTCCAGGTAGGTTAGGTTAGATTATTATTTATCTCATTGTTTTAACGGCCTGAATCAATTGTTATTAATATAATTTTTTTTTTCATTAACACGCATACGTTTTCTTATCCATAGCGAACCTACATCGAACCGAAAAACAAAAGGAGCTATGCAAAATGTTGGCAATAAGCGATATGATGGTGTAACATACATTACGGGATAATCGGCAGTTTAAGCATCAGGTAATACAACCTCAAGAGTTTCTCTGACTACTTAACAATGACATTTTTATTTAACAAATCTCGGTAAAAGCGATATTTACGAACAAAAATGTTATAAAAAAAAAAAAAAAAAAAATGGAGTCAAGCTCCTTTTTTAGAAAGTAAAAGCGACACTATTGAAAATTGTGTTCACGAAACGACAAACATAGTACTTGGTCTTTATACTATTATCGCTTATCATCTATTATAATGTTTATAATATAAAATTAATTTGTTTAGAAAAAAATTTGTTTTAATTCTTTCATCCGTTTTTCGTGGTGACTGAACAATCTTACAACGTATCAGTGGCGCAATTACAGGGGTGTTATGGGGTGCTAAAACTCGTAAAAGTAAGACTATACTAGTTTTTTAATCAATAAATTAGATGGCGGGAAAGATATCGAATTAGATATTGTTACAGTTAGTGGTGCCCACGTAGAATACCAATGTTGATTGTGTTTGTAGTTTGTGTCAGGGCTCAGGAAACCACTACAAGATTTATATGCTATTATGTTAATATATTATGTAACTACTATATAGAAATAAATTATGTTGAAGTAATAGATAAATGTTGTAATACAAGTCAACTCATATTCAATGCCTTAAATTAAATCACTAGTCAAAAATATTATGTACGTTGTAGAATAATCTTTGAAATTTTAATAATCAATAAGTTATGGTATTTGAAAAACTTCCCTGAGCAATATCAACTGGTGAAGATTTTTTTATTTTGTAAATTTTAAATTCGATCCCCTATTAAAAAAATATTGTACAGGAATTTGCAATATTTTTAAATGTATTTGAAAATTCATTTGGAAAAAAAATGATTTCAATCAAACGAAAATGGATGTAGACCAAAATACATTTGGGATCCCTGTAATTACAACCGCACTGGTTCATGGAAAACCTGTGGTGCCATTGGTTACAGTTCTTTTGATTGGTAAGAAAATGCTATAATCTGTTCGATACTGTTTTCCAAAAAAAAAATTTAAGTATCCGCTAATTACAAACGTTGATCATGAAACACTGAAAAAAGATATAGTGTGTTTACGAAACGAGTCATTAATTATTATTATTATTTTAATATTTTTATTAGTATAAATAATCACAGTTTCGTAGAGTTCAGTTGTACGAATAACTTACCGTATACTGTGAGTGCCATCTGTCCGACGAGTATTCAAATGTAACGCGAGTGCACCGCGAACGCGTGGAATATTGCGATTTCCGGCGTCGTTCTCGGTTAGATCCGATATCAATATAAACACCGACAGTACCTAACCTAATAATACGTATCGTTGCATTGGTGTTAAGTCGATTATTACATCCGTCGTCAGAAGTGCTGATTGAATACAGTCATGGTTTTACGATTCATACGAATATGCAAATGAAAGTCAACGACACTCGGTCGCGTTTCGAAATATTGAAAAAATAAAGATGATTGGGTAATACATATTGATGTATTGATACTACAATTTCGGACGGATTCAATCGAACGATAAACAATGTTAGGTGCATTTATCCCCGCACGAATATACAAGTTGTTCGTTTAGAACACGTCTTTAAACAAAGATCGTTTCGTCCACGTTTACCGTATGTATAACCGACACGGGTTTGTTTTTTACAGATTGTAAATGTTGTAGCATTAACTAAT